GTCTTGTTCCTGACGGACCGAAGGAGTAAGTCATTTCTGTCTAACAACCGGACCGATAGCCTCCTGAAGCTCTTGCTGGCGGCGGATTCTTTGCGCCTGCTCCTCCGAAGCAGCCTGCACGACAAAACATGCACAGCCACACACACACACACACACACACGCGCACACACGCACACGCGCGCACACACACACACACAATCAAGGAGACTGCACATCCAGGCCTCCGTCTCGGCCATCAGTGCAGCCTGTTCTGCTTCCAGGTGCTGCCGCAGCTCCAGAACCTGATCGATGCTGTAATGTGCTGGACCGATGTTCTATTGTCTCAGACTTCCAACCTCCTCTCGTCGTGCTACGATCTCCTTCTCCTGCAAGGAGACGATGGCGGAGGTCTTATCCAGCCTTACAGGCGTCAATGTATCAATGCGACAAGAAACAACGATGCACGGGGAGCCGGCCGATCTTGCAGATGGCTGCTCTTAGCGTGGAAGTCCGCAGCTCTCTCCACGGCTTCTTCCTGATGAGATGCACATTCATAAGGACTGTCACGGTTGGGGCTTGGGATGTCCTGCAGATCCTTCTGCTTCCTCAGCGCCAGCTCCTGCGGCAAATACTATCCCCAGCCCCAGAGTCTATGCTTGCAGGCTACCCACCATCTCGTGCGTCCTCCTCGGCCAGTTTCGCCGTGGTTTTCGCCTCCAGCAGCTCCTGCAAACGTAGGGACGGCGCTTCAAAGAATGGCAAGGAGGAGTCGGGTCCTCCGCCTTGCATTTGGTGAACCAGTGGCGACCACGCTTTATCTGTTCGCTGCAGTCGTCCTAGGATCACATGTGGCAACAGAGGATTTCGATGGACCCTGGTTTCGATAGCCCTGGTTGCCTGCCTCCTGCAGCTTCAGTCGCTTCTCCAGATCCTCGACCTGGTGGCTGTGCTCCGCCTGTCCGAGATGCGACTTACGTAGAACACAAAGCTGGCTCCTTGCCTTTGCCATCTCGAGCTTCTCCGCTAGCTCCTGGAAGCTCTTGTCGCCGTCGGCCTGCACGGGATCTCATATGTCGTGCAACGCAGGATTCTCCTATTGACTGCTGGCCTTTTTCTGTGCCAGCTGCTCAGACAGCGCCGAGTTTTCGGACTGCACCTTCTCCAGCATTTTGTGCTGACCGGCGAACATCTCGGAGTTCATGCGGAGAAGAGTTCTCTGCGCACTCTCTTCTGAAACCGCCTCGACGTACTCGGCACGTGCGGAAGCCATCGAAGCGTTTTCTGCGCTGAGGGCACTGTTCCGCAGCCGCAACTCCTGGATCTCCTGGCGCATTGGCTGCCTCTCCTCCTCGCGTCTGCGCCGGCAGGCGCCTGCCTCCTCCTCCGCTTCAGCACCTGGCACTGGCGCTGCCTGGTGCTGCGCTTTGCCCTTCTGTGCCTGGGGCTGCGCTTTGCCCTTCTGAACCTGCCCTTTGCCGCTCTTGGCCTTGGCCTTGGCTTTCTTTTCCGGGCGAGAGCCATCACTGCCGCTGTGCCAGCCACGTCCATCGTTCCAGCCTCCTGAGCCTCCTCCCGACCAGTTGCTGCTCCTCCAACCATCGGCCATGCTTTCTAGCTGGTGTAGTGCTGCTGCTGCTGCTGCTGCTCAGGTGCTGCTGTTGCTGCTCAGGTGCTGGTGCTGCTCACGTGCTAAAGCTGCTGCATAGTGAGGTGCTGCTGCTGCTCACGTGCGAGGTGCTGCGCAGGTGCTGCTGCTC